TGAATCTTTATGCACAAATCTAAACATGACACAGATGGCAGTTTTACTGGTCTCTTTTATTTCCGGTTCAGTGTCACATCATAAGTGTTTATTTTAAAATGAATTGAAACATCAGCGTTAGTTAGAGAATTTATGAGAATTTGAAGCATGTTATATATTTATGTAGATTTATGGTACTTCTTCTACAACCTTTTAACCAGTGTTCCCCACAACATGCCTGATTGAATTGTAAGATAACAATTGGCAACATTTCTTGCATTTATATTTGTTGAAAAGTTTAATTATATATGTATGCATTGCCTTACAACCAACAATCTGTTTCTTCTGTTGGGAATCACAACACAACCACAATGAAGATCTTTACTGGGATAACAATGAAAGTGCTCAATGCAATGGCTCAACAGCTGAACTTCAGGTACGTCAAGATATTTAGAGCACGTCACTGGGTATAAAGTCACTATTGATAGTATTTCTATATAAAGAGATAATTTAAATACTACACTATTACATTTCGTCCTTCTGCCAGTGGACTGAAGTCATAAGCTCAGCAGCATAAACCTATGTTGAGTCAACCGATACTTTAAAAATGCGCCCCACTGTGTTGCAAAACGAATATATTTCTTAACGTTTTTCTTTACTCATGAGCAGCAAAATCTCTGCACTTGAACACAAAAGACGTGATTGAAAAATTAGCATACCGTTTTTTATTATTAGTTTCAACAAAATCAACAATGCTTCACTCGTGTAACTGGATTTTCTGGTTCATCGATCACTTGATTGTCTGGTTTGTTACAGGCTAACGTCGCATGGCATGAGTACTTTTTATGCAAATTGTATGATTGTCGGGTGCTACCGGTAGGGCAGGACATGCTTACCCAGTCACACGTGAAAAGACCACAGAACCTTAAAGGGGATTTTATAGATTTATAGATATAACAAAAAAAACAAATTTCCTACAATTTCCTAAATATTCCACTTTCATGCACTCACCGCTCCCAATCGACCCACACAACTCGCTCATACACTCCTCATGTCTCTTGTACTGTTTCAATGTTTCTCAGCCATCTCACTCCCCCACCATCTTAGGGACTAGAATGGGTTTACTTACATAATGGAGTAACTTACATCCGGTAAGTACCTGTGAAGATCCGGGGTAGAATAGGTAAAAGGCGACTATGCTTGTTGTAAGAGGCGACTAACGGTATCGAGTGGTCAGGCTCGCTGACTTGGTTGATGCATGTCATCGATCCCATTTGCGAGGATCGATGCTCAATATCTGGATAGTCTGTGCGGCGTTAAACAAACAAACAAACAAAACATCCGGTAAACTGACATTGTTTCACTCAAATAACAAAGTTCTTCAACATGCAGAGAGTACAATATCTAGCTAATACTCCAATGACGAGAGAAGTGCCATACTGCCTATATTCGCAAATTATTCAATATGACATAATACATACAACCAAAACAATCACTAAACGTATAACACGCACGCCACTAAAGTTAGTGACATAAAGCCCAGGGTATAACCAAGACACACAGTCCAACCTGGTCCAAGTTTCTTCAGTGACTGCCCAGAATTAAGACACAGATTGCACAGATTGCATGATGGTTATATATGCACATAAAGCAAAGCATGCACACCTATCCACTCACTTCAATCAGCTAACATGACTTAAGCAGGATACGCTCACCTTTTCACGAACACCTGGTATCATTACTATTTGATAGTGATTCATAAACACATGCTCAAGATATAGTCGGGATCGTACAATCGACTCTGCTTTATGGAGAGAATTCTATTGGATATGGAAAGGGTATTGTCGCTTTATTTACTCTCATAATCACTCTCACACAACACACACATACAGTGAAACGAAATGGCATTGTGATCTTGACATACCCTTTGTCATCACTGATTTTCAGATGTCCATTCATATTATTTCCACAGCTATTTCGGCAGAAAATCTAGGATGGTTATTGTCTTTATTTGACAATATATATTTAATCCGCTCAAAGGTTCAGTTTAAGTAATGTATAATCATATACGTATAAAGAACATTTCGCTGATTGTATCTTTTTTATATTCATTTCAACCCCCTTAGCATCCAGGTAATAGGACCGCCCGATAACGTATGGGGTGAACAAGAAAACGGTACTTGGACTGGCCTGATTGGACAGTTACAAAAAAGGGTAATGAATAAAATATAATTTGATTTGTTTTGGTATGTCACTGTGTCTTGTGTGGCTATTAGAGAGTCTGTATGTCTGTCTGTCTGTCTGTGTGTGTTATATAGGCTAAAACTGCAGTCGTCTTTCGCTGCAGCAAACCCATCTGCATTATCAAATGCTTTTCAGAACTGGTCATGATCAGTGACAGGTGCGGCTTTCGCAAACTGTATGGTTAACATTACGGTTAACATTACGTTTTCCGAGTGATGCCTCAACACACTATTGATAGATAGACGCGGTCGTTGAGAACACAGAACTCCATTTTGATAGCCATTGTTTAAAATAGAGGTAGGACTCTGAAGATACTGTCAAATCAATTAATTGTTTTGGTGATTGTTGGTGAAACAATCTTGCAATGAAACACTCGTAGAGGAAGGCATACCAATTATGATATACCTTGCTATTATGATATTCCTTGCTATTATGATATACCTTGCTATTATGATATTCAACCTGTGTAGATTCAAGAAAAAACTCTGTATTCTGTTTAATTGAAATGTCAGCCCAGATACAAACCGTCTTTGTAAGTTTTTGAAACCAAACAGTACTTTGGCCATAATAAACACTCGTTCAATGACAAAATGATTTTGTTGTTTAATGTAATGGCGACCTCAATGAAAGATTCAAAAGGTTCAGTACAGCATGAATCCTAAAAGCAAAATATCTAACCATATTGCTTCAAGTTAAGACAATGTCTAAAACTCACATAAGGCACAAATTTGACATCAATCAATATGAAGATCAGATAATTGCTTTAATGGCGCCTGTTACGATATAGTGGCAACACGTGTCTATAAAAAACATCACGTGTCTATAAAAAGCAAACGCCGTGTGATTTCACATCGTCGTTTATGGAAGAAATTAAACATATTTTTTCCAATGCACGAGGGTGTGCTAAATTGGAAATAACATCTGTTTTAGGAGGTGGATATGGTTGCAGCTCTTTTGACTATTTCTGATGACAGAGCTGCTGTGATGGATTACCTCCTTCCCCCAGTTCTCACCAGCTACGTACGTGTCATGTACAGAGAACCGGACGTTGACCAGTACAGGTGGCTGTTGCTGTTGAAACCTTTTAAACAAATGGTGTTCCTGGTGTATGGGGGATGCGTGGCTTGTGTTCTTCTAATTTATGGAGTAACACAGTTCCATCCAGGACACGGATCTCCTAGAGATACTGTGCACAGGAAAACAGAAGTCCTGTCCAGCATGTCATGGTTTATTCTTGGATCAATGCTAAAACAAGGTATTGTCCTGATACTGTCTCCGCAAATGGGGTATATTCTGTTGTTGTTTGGGTTTCTATGGACGTTTAACTCAAAGGTTATTTTGAATGCATAAGAGCTGAACGTACAGATCTCGTACTTGAGCTTTACCAGCGGTTTATCTTGTAGCTTTGGGAAAGTAGTCTTGTCACGGCATTTTCCTTTTCTCAAACTACTGAAATCAATATAATTACGATGGCCGCAGGATTTTAAGTTAACAAGGTTTCACCGTGGAACATTAAAGTTTTGAAAAAAAACCTTGTGTAATGCCAATGTAACATCATGTAATAACCTGCAGACCTAATAAATAATTAATACTCCATTATACGCCACTAAATGCGACTTTCTAAGAAAAAATCAATCTATCATTACAGGAAAGTGGGTAGGGATATTGCCTGTTTATTTTCAGTTTTTTAATACATGGTAAGTACACTATTATGATAAGCATTCGACATAGAGACCATGCGTTGAATTTTCATCAATAATTCTTAATACAAATACGTTGTCACATTGAAAGCACATATTCAAAGTCCTGTCTTTAATGCTAAAGAAATAGAGGTTTCAGTGCCTACTTTAAAGTGTTAACGTTGTAATGAGGATGGTAGTATTTCTCAGGGGAAAGTAAAGGGACTACAAAGACACGCATTTGGCATTCATCTAGCAAAGGGACAATGGCAGTGAGGTTCATGAGGTGTTTTCTTTGGTCAGATTAAAAGTGAACATCTGCTTCATTGTTCATGGTAATGGCGGATTTTTTAAAACATATTATGATACAATTAAAACTGCTTCAAACTAGGGTCTCATGGTAACAGCGATAAAGTAGCCAGCAAATGATTCCCGAGTGTAAATTTGTATTTGTTAAAGTAAGTCAGCTACATGTGTTCTGGAGCGCGCAAGGGATCTTTGTAAGAGACTGTATATCATGTCGGTCACTGCTTCAAAACATGCGTTTTCCATTCAAAAGAGTGGCCAAATAACTTGGGTTTTTTAAACACATTAGTCATATCCAGTGAACAATATTTATTCAGAACATTATCATTTAGAACTCCCAAGTTCTACTGTGAGCGAATCTGATTTAATGTCTTCTGCATTTTTGTTATAGACGGGATATTTGCAAACATGCAATTTTTTTATGCGAAAGGAGTATCCAAATAAATGCATATATTTCCGGATATTAGCCATGTTCAGTGGACAATTTACATTTTGGTACTGTAAGAAACTATCGTTGTGCAGATTTGCGTCCCACACTCGTGTTAGGTTCCAATAATGAAGGGATCGAATTCTACGTTAGCCAAGATTATGATTCTTGGTTTGTCAGCACCATACGTTTGGTATACGTCTACGACAGTTCACGTCGGGCTCCCGTCCCACATTAGTCCGACATGCTGTAATATAACTGAAATACTGTTCCAAATGACATGAAACCTTACTTACTCTTTATCTGCACACCTGGATTCACACTTCGTTATTTTGTTACAGGTGGTACCCACACATTCACTGGTGCATCTGGTAAGGTTCTAACATTTTTCTGGTGGATCTTTCTCGTTGTCATCACATCTGTCTACACTGCAAAGATGGTCGCCTTCCTGTCTGTGAAGAAGTCCGAACCTCCACCATTCACCAACCTTCACGAACTCTCTCAAAGACTTGACTACACTATAGGATTCGCGCTGAACGGTTTCTTTCAAACATATTTCCAGGTACACATGCGTCGGGTTCTCATGATTTATGTTAAGTTTATGCTTTTGTTGATGCTTCTTAAAATATTTACAAAATTGATTCGTGAAAAGATGTTTCAGCATGTACTTGGCAAAATGTAGGTTGTAAGTTTTCTTGCCAGTCTCACAGTGGTTGCTTATCCCCTCAATCGTTTTATTAGTCGTTCTTTACTGGTTGCTAGAGGTCAATAACCACAATCAGTGATTGCTATTATGAGTTGCGTCCAAGTCACCCGATCAATTGAGCTGCCTCGTACACGCATGCACTGCTCAAGGACCATATCTAACCCCGAATCCCCATGCGGAGAAATATAAAATCGCTTCATATGTAATATAATTATCTCTAACGTAATCGCTTACCTCTAGATACATACATATATAGTATAGTCAGATTACTATGTCTGAGTGGGGTACCCATGTTAAACTGTGGCATGGTACCTCAGTGGACTGGTACTATAAGCTAGTCAGCCACCCGTGCTTGCACGTAGCTATACAAGCGTATATATACTCACCTATATACATATGATATATATGGTCAAACTGAACTTTGAGTAAGGATTTCCGACATAGGTTACACACAGTAACCACCCGATCGACAGTAACAATGTGTCAGTACGACATGATCAATATTGAATCTGTTTTGCTGTGAATACACAATAGAGGACTTTGCTTGTATTGCCAGTTCACATGAATTGTTTTACATATTTTACAAATTGAACGTGTGTCGTCCTGAAAGGCAGATCAAAATATGTTAATTTCAGAATTCCAAGAGGGATGACGTGAAACAAGTTTGGAAGAGAATCCAACAACAACATGTGACTGATCCGCGTGTTCTGTCGGTAAACTACAGCTACCATGTTAGTAAGATGAAGAAAGAAAAGTATGCTGCAGTTGTGGCCACCGTTATCTCAGATAGCTACATGGCCCAGGAATGCAAAATCACCTACCTTCAGGAGAGATTACAGTATGATCAGATGGCTTTTGGGCTCCCGACATCCTCACCATTGAAGCCTGAGTTGGAACGTGTGTATGTGTCACCTTTGTGTCTGTAGGGATTCCAGGTCAGAATAGATTCCCCAGTTCATCATTTTTGTTGTATTACTTTCACAAAAAATGGAATCGGGTGATCAGACTGTGGTCAGGTCATCGTGTGTCATCCTGCCCCAACGGCGGCGGAACCCTTGTTTGGCCTAGATTAGATTATTTAAAGGTCGCCGTGATATGGCAGGATTATTTCAGAGTAAAAAACAACAAACAAAACGTTTTTGTTCTTTTGTGTACTATATGAATAATATCAAGTGATCTTTCGTCACCTATCGACGGCACATCTACCTCGTTGGCGTTGTCGTATGTAAATATCTCTGACATTACTCCACCATATAGCTGAAATATTCGTCTTCCAAAACCATGACAGCTAAAAACAACAGACTAAGTGCATTTATATAGTGGCCCATTTCGGTTCTCTAAGGTGGCAATTTGTAGAGTTAATCTTTAGCTCACATGACTGACAGTCAAATGAGCTTATGTCATGGCCTGTTTGTCCGGTGTCAGTCATGCGTCATCCAGCGTCACTCGTCAGTTGTGCGGTGTAAACATTTTCTCCTCAGAAACCAGAAGAAGAAGCAGAAACTTCACATACTCGTTCCCATCAATAATAACATCCCAATGTGGTCCTCAAATCAGAATCCGACATTCAATATGACATCCACGGCTGAAACAGTATTTTTTATTGTGAAGTTTAAACAATATACAACTTTTCCATTGGACGAGAGATCGGTCACATGACAGCTAAATTTCAGTTCATTAGTGTATGAACGACAAAATTTGACGTTCATATGTTTTTCACGAGACTGTTTTCTTGAAATGACGAAAACACTGATGGACTACTTACACATTCTTGGGGACTTACAATTTCCATCAATTCTTAAATGATATTTGATTTATATAGAGTTATGGGGCTTTACATATGTATTCTGGTTTCTGCGATATTTAATAATCTATAATTTTGACCATGATTTTATGTGCACATTGACCATGCCCCGAAATGTTCTCAAACTACATTTCCTCGCAATGTAAACATCATCTCTTCAAAAACAACCAATGGAGCTGAAACTTAAAATGCTTGATTCCACAAATGATATGGCACTTGAAAGTGTTAAAGAGGTTTGAATCTGGTGCTCTCGAATTATCTATATATGCTGACTGACTGAAGAAGCTGAACTTTAACATATGGTGACTTCATATTTTGTTCAAATCATTGGGACTTGAGTGTTGTCCTGTTGAGTGGCTTTCTTTGTGGTTACCTATTGTCTACATATGCAGGTGAGCTACAGTGCGATGACACTATATTGTTCATAATATTGTAAAAGAATGTCTACATGTTCATATGACTGACACCTAGTCATTGTTTCATGGCACGGTGTTTTACTTATAGCATGACTAAAGGTGAGCAAAAACAGCTATTTTTTAAATTTCGGGAAACTATCTATGACTGAACCTATGAACAAGTCCGTGTCCGAATAAAATAGTTTTCGATTTCTAATGGAAAAGCTGTTCAATCAGCTTTTTGACACATTAAGGCTTAACTATACATTTGGTGTTGTATTCAGTCCAAAAGCTTGCAAGTTTTGAACACAAAAAGTCTAAATCTCATTCATCTGAAAACATCTGATAACTTCACAAAGATTTCTAAAATCCTTTCTTATATATTAGATTAGATTCAACAGTTCCAGCGGGCCAAAAAGGACCCATTTTATACCTCGTCCTTTTTTCCCTTTTCTAATTACAAAAACCACAGCCATTCTTTAAAAGATCTAATGGTTATTTCACTTTGATCAGGATGCACATGCTGGTGGATACTGGGTTGACAGAAAAATGGATGCATGAATTTGGCTTTCTGTCTGACAAAAGTGGATGTCGCTCTGAGAAGCTTGTTACAGCAGTGACGCTTGACGACGTTGGTGGAGGCTTGGCAGCAGTAGCAGGAGGTGTGGGACTAGCACTTCTGACCCTGACTGTAGAATGCCTCTATCATCTTTACATCAGGCCACGAAATGGAATAGCGGCGTAAAGTATGTAGACACAGATACAAGACGAACCAAACACATGGTCAATAATGTACTGAAAACAGGTTCGCAAGGGAAACTAACGACATGATATTTTTGTCTAGCCTTTGATTCTGTCATATTCGCATTTTATGTTTGTGCAGGAAATCCATTGATACCTTTCGTTGCAATACGCCAATAAAGCAATTTGCGCAATTTACTTTCTTGGATTCACAACTATTTTTAAAATGACAAATGATTAAGTAGGACATCACTCGTAGTTGATCAGAAATGAATAAATCATATACGTGTCCAAACAATTCAGATTCTGAGCAATGTGTTGAGGCGTTTAGAACACTTTCAGGACGAACAATTCAAACACAAAAGCTATTGATTAGAACTAAGCATTTTTGGCTCGCCTAGTACAATTATAACATGACAATGCATTCTTACAAATACACTTATAACAGCAAAGCCGTTCGAGCTGTATATACCTGGAGACTTACACAGTCTTCTTGGCCGTGTGGTTCAGGGGAAAGTGAAAAGTGACGTTTGCGCACTTTTCACAATATATGTATAGGTTGTGTATATTCGTGGAACTTGAATACTTGGCTGTGATAAGAGAGAGGTGTATGACACATGACTGTATTTTGTCGACATGAAAAGGAGCAGCTTGGAGAACAATCGGACATCGCCTTGCCCATGGTACTGCAATGGCTTGATTTGAGAATCACTGTCGTGTTTATAGACTCCAGAAATGGTCTTATGTTCCTTTTCTGACACTGATACGAATATGAATATCCTTAGCCATAGACGTTTCACAGCGTCCCACTATATAGAGAGTGTCACTCATTATAAAATTAAAGTAAATCGTTCCAAGTAGAATTGTGACTGTAAACCGATGAATACACACAGAAGATGGGGGAACCATGATGACAAATTTAGATGTTGTACGAATGATTTTAAAATGCATTAATATGGAATGTTTTGTGATCATGATTTTGGGGACAGTCTATGCAATTACTGTAAAGAAGACTTAGATGATAAATACCATGCACTTTTCATATATCCAGCTTATACTAACTTAAGGTCAAGAAAGTTTCCCTTGTATTATTATGAATATCCTACCTTGCACAAGTTTGTTACTATCAACAAATGACGACAGCATTTTATTTCAGCTAGCTCTTCATCTTGAAAAATGTTTAACTTAAAAAATCCAAAACCAATATAAATTGAAGTTCTCTGCCATAATGTGCCTAATATTATCCAATCACCTGTACTATTGGCCTCATGGCCAGACTATACGAAATAAATTATGTTCTCTAAAACGTCATCGCCATTGAATAATCATTCTCGAGTATCTTCCAAAACAGATTCCAATTGGCGTAAAAGGCAATCTAGCATTGAAAATAACCAAAATGGATCACTAAAATTCAGTGATAACACCAGATATAAGGGTAAGTATGTTCTGCTCTACCGGCAGCTCCCCACCACTCAAACAATTTACATAGAAATATGTGTTTTTTACCTAACACCGAACAGCAATACTCCCGCCATGCTATGGCGGCCTGTAAAGAAACCAGACAATGAAGGGACGGACCACAGATCCAGTCACACAATAACACTTTTACTGATTTTGTTGAAACTAAAAACCATATGTTAAGTTTGAATTACGTCTGTCGTGCAGTAGAGAAGAGATTTTGCTGCAAAAAATGTAGAGAGGTTTCAGAATATGCTTGGTTTGCAACACAAATATTAGCTAGCTAAGTAGGTAGCGTGATCTTTGCACACTCTGACTTGTCTCTGAGTATGGAGCATTTGTGTGACCCCCTGTTTAAGTACCTGTATCACAAATACAATTAAGATCAGAATTGATAATCCACAAGCCCCTCCTAAAACATTTCACGCCTTGCCTTGTAGTACTCCTGACAGGTGCATAACAAAGTATTAACACTGAAACACTTCTTCAAGCAGCAAATTAACAGTCTGTATAATTCTGACTTTGGGGCTGACGGCCCAATCATCACCGGAGAGTTCAGCCAGGACAAAGTTGCGGGGGAAGATAGAGGACGTGTTCCAGTGCGCCTAAGATAAAGGGTATGCTGGGCATGGGGCTGGCAGAGCCTGGCGACTGAGGATGAATCTGACACCATCGACAGACAGATGAAGGTTCTTCGCTTCATGAGGAACAAGAACGATCAGAGCAAAGGTGGCCTTGTCGCAATACAGTTGTAGATCCTGTTGGGTTTATGTTGGTATATGACACTGTAACATCACTTATAGACCGACAATTTCATATTCTTGAGTCGGATATGGGTTTGGGTTTTATATGCAGTTGGTGGGGGAGTAGTTGAAGTTTTGAATTTCGAAAAGGAATTTTGACTCAGCTTTAACAAAGACAGTTGAATAACTTATAGGGTTTCACCTTTAAAAACTGTATTGACTGAAAGGATATTCTGTCTATAACAATAATAGACCAGGACCCCCTGTGGTAACACGCCATTAATACATAATGATCCTATGCGAGGTTATTTTCAAGTAAAACTGAATAAATGTTTCAAGCAATAAAGCGTTTAACTATTATGATTTCAATAATCCGGAAAATCTTTATTTAGGAATATACTTGGAGATATTAAATCTATCGCCACATGTCGATCAAACCACACGATTGACTGATCAGTAAGTCCAAAATATCTTTTCGAACTTTTCGAATAGTTCAAGTTATAATGTCAAATAATCATTGAGCTCCTATGGATTTGTGTAAGCGCTTGTTCCTGGGTGACAAGAAGTAAACAATTAAAAAGGTTAATCGCTTCAAAGGGCAAGTAAAGTGAAGAGAATGATTGTATTGTTTTGCGAATATCAATTCTAAAATACATTTCGTCAATTCCGAGAGAAATAAATTCATAATATTCGCAGAAAATGCCCAACTGAAAGTGTTGAAATTACGAACTCCGCTTCCAAAACGAACCTATTGGGGGTGTGGCCTAAAGCTGTCAGCGCAGCCGTGGTAACCGTTTTCATTGACTGATAGGTTTGTCCATGTTTTGATTCTTAGCCGTTATGCATTTGCTGTTTTTGCTTTTTTCTAAATTTATTAATCCTACAAAAATAACAACATTGCATACATTGTTGAATGTGTGAATAGACATTTCATCTTGACATTGTGATTAATATAATTAACAATCGGTAACTAGCGTTTTGTTTGCACTTCTGACAATTTGATGGTACATTCACCTTGTATATGTATCTCTCTTTTTGTTGATTCGTATGAAGCTTAAGGATTCAATGGAATTACTTATACGTAGAAATATATAGTGAATATTACTGCCACTTGACATTCTACCTAAGGATCGATCATGAAATGAGTATATTAGATAAGGCTAGAGACATTATTTGTTTTGCATTTACTCACGAATTCATATATGGATCGTGTCATTGAGGCTACCATTAGGGTAATAGCTTTAATACTTGACGCTTAAAAACATTAAAGACACTATGTATGTATTGCAATCGAACATCGTACATCGTTCTTGTATTCTGCAGAATCTGTTAAAAACATGTTTCGCACTTTGATGATAAGAACTAAGGAAATGTTAATGCTACCTACAGTCGTACGTATTCTGTTATACAGATTGGCAAGGGTACATGGTTGATATGCATACTTAGCAACGATTTACGTTCATGTTTGGGGATGCCAGCTATATTGATTTATGACTTTGAGAACTGATCATTTTCACGTTTGCATTTGCATTTCAAGAAGAGTTTCACATCTAGGTGACAAAGGGCATGCTTATAAACGCTCATACCAAACTTTCTATGCTGTTTTAAGGAGTAGAGGATATAACAAAATCATACGAGCTTCTCCAGAAATTACAGAGATAGCAATCTTGAAATAGTTCCACTTGTCACCTGGACTAGGTGACGGTCTTCGCTTGTGTTGAGGGTGTAATTGGGATTGTAATGCTAACATTGAAATCTTAATGTATGTAATTCAACACGTGTCTCACACAACTGATTAAAAACACACTGTACTATCATCGCTTGGTATTATGAATCACAACAAATAATGATACCAGGTGTTAGCATAAAGGTGAAGTCAGTTGTTCACCTGAAAAAAAACATAGGAACATATTATGCATGCCCGAATGCACATCAAAAATTGTGAAATGTAGATACCAAAGGCTGTAAGTGCACAAAGAAAACTTGAGGATTTGAAAGGGAAAGAGCAAGGATTTATGATTCGGAAAATGTAAAAGGGTAAGTGCAACCATGGTTAGAAGTGCAATTTTGACCATGTATGCAGTGCAAAAGGTCATCATAAGTTGACATAAAATCAGCCTACAGATCAGTGGGGATTCACCCAACAGACTATAAAATGACTGGTATAAAGCGGAAATTTAATGGTCTAAAGAATCCTACCATCCTGTTTGATGCACATTTACCGTTTGGTTCCCAGTTAGGTCCCAGCATTTGCCATGGGATTTCTCAGGCCATTAAGAGAATGATGCATAGGAGAGGCTTCAAACATTTGGCGGTGTACATTGATGATTATTGTATTTTTGCTCCTTCATATGAACAATGTAATGCAACGTTGCATACACTTATTGGACTGTTAGGGGAGCTTGGTTTACATATTAGTTGGCAGATGGTGGTGGGCTCCACCCAGAAACTTACCTTCATGGGTGTGGATATAGATACTGTTATAAAGACACCATCGCTAGGGCCTGTGAAGCCGTCTAAGTTAAATGAGAAACAAAAGAGATTTTAAAGCAGAAGAAGAGCATCAAAACGACAAATGCAAGGACTAGCAGGATTATTAAATTGGGCATGCCAGGCAATATTAAGAGGAACTTTTTCTTCGACGCATTCTGGACACGATGTGTGGCCTGTAGCGTCAATGCAGTATTATCGCGATTTGGCACGGTGGCTAGCTCATCTTGCCATATTTAATGGATCAGTGTATTATGTTTCAACGGAAACGGATCCAGTTCATGTGGATGCTTGCACAGCAGCAGTGGGGAGTGGCACTATTCAGCATGGCAAGCTGATTGGACGGCAATTGATACCCTGGATATTAACTATAGGAAAATGTCGGCAGTTGTTCTGGCAGTGAGAAAATGGGCCAATGAATGGAAGGATAAAGCCATGGTTGTGCATACAGACAGTGTTGTGGCAAAGTCTGTGATTAACAAAGGCAGCTGGTTAAGAAAGCACTCCGTGAATTGTTTTGGTTAAGTGCGCGTGTAACTTCACAATAAAAGACATTCACACACCCGGCAATTGTAACATCATTCCAGACACTATGTAACGACTTCATGAGTCTAAAATGCTCAAAATTGTGCACATTACTCAGTAACTGGTTTCAGTGTTGTAAGTCAGTCCCCATGGTGCTCTCAGAGTTTGTAAATTCAATGTCCCTGCAGTCAAGGATGTTTCTGTATTGCAGATGGTCAAAACAAGCTGGCAGAAGAGCTCACGTACGACCCAGGAAGTTTCTGAATATCGTGCATCGACTTTCTCAGAGAATACCGTGAGAACGTACAACCTGCATTTGAGTGCATATCTGAAGTTTTGTGAGTTAATAGGGAAGGCTCCCGTCCCAGTCACAGTGTGGCATGGTTGTGCTCTATGCTGCCTCACTCGCAATAAGATCCTACTTCAATTAAACAGTGCATGAATATTATGCGAATTTTGCATCGTTTGTGGGTATGAGCACCCATTTCAAATAGTTGGCTTTGAAGTCTACTCTCAGGGGAACTTCAAGAATTAAAGGACTTGTTGTACAAAGAACATATGACACCGATCATGTTGCTACAACTCAGGGGAGTGCTTGCATTTAGCAACCTTTCACATGTAAACTTGTGGAGTGATATGCTGATGATGTTTTTTGGATTGTTTCGCAAGTCAAACCTTTCCCTGACTCGGAGAAAAATAATTCAAGCACGAAGCAGTTTTCAAGAGGAAGTTATACTCGGACTGTTCACATGGAGTGAGAGTGAACTGGTCCAAAACTATTCAGTTTAAGGAAAGAATGTATGAGGTGAGACTACCATGTATTCACCCACATCCCCTTTGTCCAGTTAGAGCTATCCTTCACTTGTTCAGTGTGAACAATGGCGGTTCTCTGGAATCACCAGTTTTCCTCAGTTACCAGAAGGGTAAACCAGTTGTAATGGCCAGCTCAAAATTCACACTAATGCTCTCACTACCAAGGCCAGGGTAAAGGGCGATGCATCAAGTCATAGGTTCAAGCGCCACCTGGGCGCGTAGCTGTGGTGTGGCGGGGGTAGCTCATAGTTGACTGGAAAAGAGCTGCCTACTTTGCGTATGTTGATCAAATTCCTGAAACTTTTCTCAACCATCACAGGACTATTGTTATAAATATGCTTCCTGGTTGTTTTTTTCTTTGTACCCATGTCGGGAATTGAACCCGGGTTTTCGGCGTGACGAGCGAACGCTTTAACCAATCGGCTACCCGACCGCCCCGATGAACTGGGGAAAACGTTCTGTGAATATACAACTTCTTTTTTACACTGCGTGATAACAGTGTTAGCATGCACACCGAAGCGTCGCATTCATTGTGATACAGAAGTTGAATAGCGATAGAACTATCTCCCTTGATCTACAGACTACCGTATAGTCTTTTCATAGTTCAGAGGCAATACTTCTCGCATTAATTCCATGATGCATTTTAGGTCATGGGTCAACGCTCGCATACTTTCCATAGAGCACATTTGCCAAAGGATCAACACTCACATATATTTGGTGACACATTAATTTCATGATGTAAAGTACTCGTGGACACATATAGGGGATTGCATGAGGAGTGATTAGAAACCGTTCATGATCTGGTAACACTCAACGACACCTGCAAGGAATTTTTTCCGGTTGAAAGTGTCAATCGAAACGTATAGGTGGAACATGCATACAGAAAGCCTCCCTTCCGTCCCCGTGTACTGGAGGAGAAATAATCCGGAGAAGAACATTCACGACAATAGGTACATAGGTATCAAACGGTAGGCACCGAGAACAATGGGGAGTCGGACAGCTTGGTACTTGGGATGAAAGCGTAATTTCCATTAGCCATGTTTTTCCTGAGTCTTGTCGACCATATTACTGTTAACGGGGACAGAGAAATCTATTTTATATATAATTGCATTTGATTTATAAACACTTGAATAAGAGACTTCGGCCGCAAGGCTTCAGTCAAAACTGTGATGCCTTAAGAATGTCTCTGAGTACGAGTTCAGTGACAATAGACAAGAGCGGGTGCGCCCATGACTGTCTGACTTTGGGTTCGCTTCTACGTCAAAAACACGGGTTCCTACGTCACAACAATCATCATTACCGTTTACCAAAGGTCCGCACCCTTTCCCCCTTGCAAAAGACTAGTCCATACTCGTTCTTACCCCGATTCCTTATTTGGTCCTCTGTTGGTGGGTTCCACGATTTCCAAGAATTTAGGCTCACCTCCCTCAGACCATTTATGTTTCATTTGCTCGTAGGACTCCCCTATTTCTGACAGTTCGGATGCTATTTCGAACCTTATAACTCCCATCATGATATGTGATATTCCCGTTGGCCCGAGTCCCACTTATGTCCTCACCTTTAAACAATTAATCTCTACTCAGCAATGGTACCAATTTATTCCCTCTTATTTTCATGGATTAATTATTTAAACTTCCAACTAATTATCTAAATAAATATTGTAAGTTCATACATATAATAGATCCTACAACTGTCAAGTTTAATTTTTACAATTGTATACTTTATTTTCAGTGTCGAATATAACTGCATGATTAATGACAACAGGCAAAATATTACAAGATCTGTAGATATTCTTGTTCATCGTTTTTCCGGATATCTCTTTACGGATATTCATGTTGTTTTATAACCAGGATTTTCCATGGTAACGATTTATCATTAGAATGAGCATCTTCGTTTGACGTTTTCCGTTATTCAACATGCATGTATTTATACGGAGGATGGACATATCTTCTAATCTATGCTTCCGTCTCCCTTGCGGTCCTGGAGTCGTTTGGCGATGCTGAAGAAAATGGTGAAATGCATTGTTCATTAATCTACAATTGGCAAGAATGATCACGAATGAAATGTGATTGTTGCAGCATTGTCAGTAGATAAGAGTACTATCGTTAATACTTTGATCGTGGGCAAAGTAATATCATTGACGACATACGAAAGCCTAATGGCGCCATTTTTTTAATCAGTTTCTAGTTATTTCAATTATATTCTCTCTCTTTTATATGTCTCCTCGAGTTTTTTTCTGGTTACTTCGTTTATTTCCTCGTAATGTCAAGCTTATCTCAAAAACTCGAAATTTCGGTTTTTTTCTCTCTCGTCATTTCAACGAGAAAATAATGGAGTGTGTGAGGGTGATTATACGCCGATTTTGTTCAATATTCCAGCAATATCACGTCGGGGGACATCAGACATGGGTACCATATATTGTACCCATATGGGGAATCGAACCCGGGCCTTCGACGTGACGAACGCATGCTTTAGCCACTTGGCTACCCCACTGCCCCTGAGAATAATCGGAATAATGGAAGCAACGAGGAAAATTCGAAATGTCAAGTTTTTTAAATAGACTTGAACTAACGAGAAAATAATAGAAAAAATCTAAAATATTTGAAGTAATGAAAAACCCCTCGAAATAACAAAACATTATTTAAATTACGAAAATATAATCGAAGTAACAAGAAAAACTCGAGATATCGAAAACATAAGCAAATATTTGAAACATAAAGAAACTTCTATTTAAAAAATCAAGGTGACAAAGCGGCTCCGTTAGGCTTTCTTACTGTATGCTCAGACAACTTCGATTACGTAGAATACAGCAAATGTCTCAACACTGCACACAAGAAGACGCATGACATGACACTATCTAAAACAGGTCTGTCTCACACTGAATCTTCCACCTCCAGGAGCATGCTTATTATTATTCAGAGATGTTTACTCACACCAGATCTGCCACTAACAGGAGCGTGGCCTGTGTTTACTCACACCAGATCTGCCACTAACAGGAGCGTGGCCTGTGTTTACTCACACCAGATCTGCCACTAACAGGAGCGTGGCCTGTGTTTACTCACACCAGATCTGCCACTAACAGGAGCGTGGCCTGTGTTTACTCACACCAGATCTGCCACTACCAGGAGCGTGGCCTGTGTTTACTCACACCAGATCTGCCACTACCAGGAGTGTGGCCTGTGTTTACTCACAGAAGGTCTGCCACTACCAGGAGTGTGGCCTGTGTTTACTCGTACTAGGTCTGCTACTACCAGGAGCGTGACCCGTGTTTACTCACACCAGATCTGCGACTACCAGGAGCGTGACCTGTATTTTATCACACCAGATCTGCCACGACCAGGAGCGTGGCCTGTGTTTACTCACACTAGATCTGCCACGACCAGGAGCGTGGCCTGTGTTTACTCACACTCGATCTGCCACTTCCAAGAAGTGGCCTGTATTTTATCACACCAGATCGGCCACGACCAGGAGCGTGGCCTGTGTTTACTCACACTAGATCTGCCACTTCCAAGAGGTGACCTGTGTTTACTCACACCAGATCTGCGACTACCAGGAGCGTGGCCTGTATTTACTCACACCAGATCTACCACTACCAGAAACCTGGCTTATGTTTACTAACACTAGAGATGCCACTACCACAAGCTCGGCTTGTGGTCAAACACCCAAAGAGGAACAAACACGTGATGGCAACAATCAGTAGTGCTGTCACTACCAGAACAAACACAATGTATACTCACAACAGAGCCACGGCAACAAAGAGTAGGATGAGAGCGAGTGCAATGAATACAAAGCCCGGAAATATCGCTAGTGTTGCCTCGTAGATCAGACCTCCGGCCACTGTAAACACTGCAGTCGAGACCATCTCGCTGAGATCAATCACACAAAACATGGCACCTGAAACAGATTGAAACTACAAACACTCTTTTGCAGGATCCTTGTTTCTTGAACCAACGGCATGTAGCCCAAGTTAGCCCTGAGTCATGTTGTGGTTGGAGTGGTTAGAATGTGTGACCTTGATGATTGTATGTCATTATGCCCCGACGGTGTTGATCGTTGCTCATGCAGTCAATCACTGGTTTGGTTGGTCAAGATTTGATTTTTAAACAGACCAGGAGCAATCAGTATTTAGGTGGTTACATTGAAAGTTAAATAACAGCATTTAGAATGGCAGCTAAATAGTTGTTCGTAGCATCATGTCATCTTTCTCGTACATTCTTCATGCAAATTGAAATTAAGTTGTGAATTTTATCAAGGTCGACACTAGAAGTCCAAACATGCATAACATGTTCACTTTGTCATGTTAAATTCCAAATAAGCATAATTTGTGAAAGCCAGTGGGGAACAAATTTGTTTAAGTTGCGAGCAATCACAAACCGGTCAGGTGACGCTCGTGACTGCATCAAGACTTTGTCCGTGCACAACAGTAAGCAGAACGAATGTGGCCTCATCAGCAGCATCTTGTTAATAACTTTGGGGAGTTTATTACTGTACGAGGAAATGGAAGGTTCAAGCACCCAGTGGCGAAGAATCGTCTCGGAAATCAGTTGGAGTCAACACAACAGCGAATCGAAGTTTCCAAAGTAGACACAATTTATGGACAAAGTCTTTAATTTACTACTGTAATACTTTCGGTATAGATCGGTATAATCAAATTTTCGTTCTGATTGTCTGAATTGGTCGCGTGTTACTGCGTTCATTTCCCAATGAATGTAAAAAATTAAGTCACGCCCACCGAGGCGCACTACTTTTATTACTGCGTAATGTCGGGGAATCCCAATTTTACAGTCGAGGGAATTCCCTTTCTGCTCACGTGTATCGATATGCACAGGACATTTAGCGACTTTCATGCGTATTCGTTGTCCAAACTACCCTTTGAAACCGAAGGCCGATGATGAATGAAACAGCAAACGTGCAGGCTTGCTCGCCTGTCTTTCCCGCTCGCCTCGGTTCAACTTTCATGTCTTCGGGTTTCATTTCTAACTAGCATTTTTCCAACTGTGTTTTCCCGTTTACAGGGAAGTCATGTTTGAATCTGGCGGTAACTGACCATGTCATTTGAAAGAGACACCTTCTCCTGGGCATATTACAGTCTGACTGTTTCAGTTCTTCTCGCCTTTTGCCTTAATTAACAGGTCATATGAACATTGTTTTGACCCTACTCTCCGTTGATTGGCTACTGACTGTGTAGGCGTGTAAAGTTATGTGCATAAATTAAACGATCACCTGATTCATGTCACGTCACAGTATGTATTCATACATCTGGAATGTTTATCAATCTCGTCATTTTTGTCTGCTTTGATATATTTAACTGGTTTTTGTTAAACTATTGTAGATAAAATATGTCTTACGTTGTCGAATTTAATTATAAGGATTGACTGACTTCTTTCGGTTCATTGGGGTATGAATCGAAAAACCGATGTGCAAACTGTACAATTCTTACAAAAGTTCGATTCATACGCCAAAGAACCGAACAAAATATTAGTCAGTCAATCCTCAATTACACAGGTCCCACAGTGGCCATTTGGAACAAATGGAACTTAAATAAAGGCAGATTAGCCGGCCCGTACCATGACCCACGTTTACCAATCCAGAGGATCTGTCAAAAGAACGTTTTAAGAAGTTGACGGCGCCGAAACACACCATCATGACATGCACGTGCAACAGCACTTGTTTGACGATAAAAAAACATTGGGTTTTCATTAATATATTTTGCATGCCATCACAGTCTTTCCGCAAGTAAACACGTGGACCAATCAGATCTCATCATTCTGACATGGAGGTGTGATACCCGCCATTGTTAAACCGTTAATTCCCAAAAGGTATCTGAATTATTTTCGAAAAAAACGATAATGCCTTTTTAGAACTCGTGTCCACACAATCATGTACTCACTGAAGTAAATGTATCCGCGTACACATGTCATTCATGACATATATCATGTCTCCCCTTCCCATGTGCTACTTACATGTGGGTTGGTGATTACGTGAGTCAGAGAGATTCTTACACTGAATTATGCTATATCCCAGCTACATAGGCTGCTCCGGCGAGTTGTATAAGACCTACGCTATATCCCAGCTACATAGGCTGCTCCGGCGAGTGGTATAAGACCTATGCTATATCCCAGCTACATAGGCTGCTCCGGCGAGTGGTAAAAGACCTACGCTATATCCCAGCTACATAGGCCGCTCCGGCGAGTGGTATAAGACCTATGCTATATCCCAGCTACATAGGCCGCTCCTGCGAGTGGTATAAGACCTATGCTATATCCCAGCTACATAGGCTGCTCCGGCGAGTGGTATAAGACCTATGCTATATCCCAGCTATATAGGCTCCTCTGGCGATTGGTATAAGACCTATGCTATATCCCAGCTATATAGGCTGCTCCGGCGAGTGGTATAAGACCTATGCTATATCCCAGCTACATAGGTTGCTCCGGCGAGTGGTATAAGACCTATGCTATATCCCAGCTACATAGGCTGCTCCTGCGAGTGGTATAAGACCTATGCTATATCCCAGCTGCATATGCTGCTCCGGCGAGTGGTATAAGACCTATGCTATATAGGCTAATCCGGCGAGTGGTATAAGACTTATGCTATATCCCAGCTACATAGGCTGCTCCGGCGAGTGGTATAAGACCTATGCTATATCCCAGCTACATAGGCTTCTCCGGCGAGTGGTATCAGACCTATGCTATATCCCAGCTACATAGGCTGCTCCGGCGAGTGGTATAAGACCCATGCTATATCCCAGCTACATAGGCTGCTCCGGCGAGTGGTATAAGACCTATGCTATATCCCAGCTACATAGGCTGCTCCGGCGAGTGGTATAAGACCTATGCTATATCCCAGCTACATAGGCTGCTCCGGCGAGTGGTATAAGACCTATGCTATATCCCAGCTACATAGGCCGCTCCGCGAGTGGTATAAGACCTACGCTATATCCCAGCTACACAGGCTGCTCATGCGAGTGGTAAAAGACCTATGCTATATCCCAGCTACATAGGCTGCTCCGGCGAGTGGTATAAGACCTATGCTATATCCCAGCTACATAGGCTGCTCCGGCGAGTGGTATAAGACCTATGCTATATCCCAGCTACATAGGTTGCTCCGGCGAGTGGTATAAGACCTATGCTATATCCCAGCTATATAGGTTGCTCCGGCGAGTGGTATAAGACCTATGCTATATCCCAGCTACATAGGCTGCTCCGGCGAGTGGTATAAGACCTATGCTATATCCCAGCTACATAGGCTGCTCCTGCGAGTGGTATAAGACCTATGCTATATCCCAGCTTCATAGGCTGCTCCGGCGAGTGGTATCAGACCTATGCTATATCCCAGCTACATAGGCTGCTCCGGCGAGTGGTAAAAGACCTACGCTATATCCCAGCTACATAGGCCGCTCCGGCGAGTGGTATAAGACCTATGCTATATCCCAGCTACATAGGCCGCTCCTGCGAGTGGTATAAGACCTATGCTATATCCCAGCTACATAGGCTGCTCCGGCGAGTGGTATAAGACCTATGCTATATCCCAGCTATATAGGCTCCTCTGGCGATTGGTATAAGACCTATGCTATATCCCAGCTATATAGGCTGCTCCGGCGAGTGGTATAAGACCTATGCTATATCCCAGCTACATAGGTTGCTCCGGCGAGTGGTATAAGACCTATGCTATATCCCAGCTACATAGGCTGCTCCTGCGAGTGGTATAAGACCTATGCTATATCCCAGCTGCATATGCTGCTCCGGCGAGTGGTATAAGACCTATGCTATATAGGCTAATCCGGCGAGTGGTATAAGACTTATGCTATATCCCAGCTACATAGGCTGCTCCGGCGAGTGGTATAAGACCTATGCTATATCCCAGCTACATAGGCTTCTCCGGCGAGTGGTATCAGACCTATGCTATATCCCAGCTACATAGGCTGCTCCGGCGAGTGGTATAAGACCCATGCTATATCCCAGCTACATAGGCTGCTCCGGCGAGTGGTATAAGACCTATGCTATATCCCAGCTACATAGGCTGCTCCGGCGAGTGGTATAAGACCTATGCTATATCCCAGCTACATAGGCTGCTCCGGCGAGTGGTATAAGACCTATGCTATATCCCAGCTACATAGGCCGCTCCGCGAGTGGTATAAGACCTACGCTATATCCCAGCTACATAGGCTGCTCATGCGAGTGGTAAAAGACCTATGCTATATCCCAGCTACATAGGCTGCTCCGGCGAGTGGTATAAGACCTATGCTATATCCCAGCTACATAGGCTGCTCCGGCGAGTGGTATAAGACCTATGCTATATCCCAGCTACATAGACTGCTCCGGCGAGTGGTATAAGACCTATGCTATATCCCAGCTATATAGGTTGCTCCGGCGAGTGGTATAAGACCTATGCTATATCCCAGCTACATAGGCTGCTCCGGCGAGTGGTATAAGACCTATGCTATATCCCAGCTACATAGGCTGCTCCTGCGAGTGGTATAAGACCTATGCTATATCCCAGCTTCATAGGCTGCTCCGGCGAGTGGTATCAGACCTATGCTATATCCCAGCTACATAGGCTGCTCCGGCGAGTGGTATAAGACCTATGCTATATCCCAGCTACATAGGCTGCTCCGGCGAGTGGTATAAGACCTATGCTATATCCCAGCTACATAGGTTGCTCCGGCGAGTGGTATAAGACCTATGCTATATCCCAGCTACATAGGCTGCTCCGGCGAGTGGTATAAGACCTATGCTATATCCCAGCTACATAGGCTGCTCATGCGAGTGGTATAAGACCTATGCTATATCCCAGCTACATAGGCTGCTCCGGCGAGTGGTATCAGACCTATGCTATATCCCAGCTACATAGGCTGCTCCGGCGAGTGGTATAAGACCTATGCTATATCCCAGCTACATAGGCTGCTCCGGCGAGTGGTATAAGACCTATGCTATATCCCAGCTACATAGGCTGCTCCGGCGAGTGGTATAAGACCTATGCTATATCCCAGCTACATAGGCTGCTCCGGCGAGTGGTATAAGACCCATGCTATATCCCAGCTACATAGGCTGCTCCGGCGAGTGGTATAAGACCTATGCTATATCCCAGCTACATAGGCTGCTCATGCGAGTGGTATAAGACCTATGCTATATCCCAGCTACATAGGCTGCTCCGGCGAGTGGTATCAGACCTATGCTATATCCCAGCTACATAGGCTGCTCCGGCGAGTGGTATAAGACCTATGCTATATCCCAGCTACATAGGCTGCTCCGGCGAGTGGTATAAGACCTATGCTATATCCCAGCTACATAGGCTGCTCCGGCGAGTGGTATAAGACCTACGCTATATCCCAGCTACATAGGCTGCTCCGGCGAGTGGTATAAGACCCATGCTATATCCCAGCTACATAGGCTGCTCCGGCGAGTGGTATAAGACCTATGCTATATCCCAGCTACATAGGCTGCTCCGGCGAGTGGTATAAGACCTACGCTATATCCCAGCTACATAGGCTGCTCCGGCGAGTGGTATAAGACCCATGCTATATCCCAGCTACATAGGCTGCTCCGGCGAGTGGTATAAGACCTATGCTATATCCCAGCTACATAGGCTGCTCCGGCGAGTGGTATAAGACCTACGCTATATCCCAGCTACATAGGCTGCTCCGGCGAGTGGTATAAGACCTACGCTATATCCCAGCTACATAGGCTGCTCCGGCGAGTGGTATAAGACCCATGCTATATCCCAGCTACATAGGCTGCTCCGGCGAGTGGTAAAAGACCTACGCTATATCCCAGCTACATAGGCCGCTCCGGCGAGTGGTATAAGACCTACGCTATATCCCAGCTACATAGGCCGCTCCTGCGAGTGGTATAAGACCTATGCTATATCCCAGCTACATAGGCCGCTCCGGCGAGTGGTATAAGACCTATGCTATATCCCAGCTATATAGGCTCCTCTGGCGATTGGTATAAGACCTATGCTATATCCCAGCTATATAGGCTGCTCCGGCGAGTGGTATAAGACCTATGCTATATCCCAGCTACATAGGTTGCTCCGGCGAGTGGTATAAGACCTATGCTATATCCCAGCTACATAGGCTGCTCCTGCGAGTGGTATAAGACCTATGCTATATCCCAGCTGCATATGCTGCTCCGGCGAGTGGTATAAGACCTATGCTATATAGGCTAATCCGGCGAGTGGTATAAGACTTATGCTATATCCCAGCTACATAGGCTGCTCCGGCGAGTGGTATAAGACCTATGCTATATCCCAGCTACATAGGCTTCTCCGGCGAGTGGTATCAGACCTATGCTATATCCCAGCTACATAGGCTGCTCCGGCGAGTGGTATAAGACCCATGCTATATCCCAGCTACATAGGCTGCTCCGGCGAGTGGTATAAGACCTATGCTATATCCCAGCTACATAGGCTGCTCCGGCGAGTGGTATAAGACCTATGCTATATCCCAGCTACATAGGCTGCTCCGGCGAGTGGTATAAGACCTATGCTATATCCCAGCTACATAGGCCGCTCCGGCGAGTGGTATAAGACCTACGCTATATCCCAGCTACATAGGCTGCTCATGCGAGTGGTAAAAGACCTATGCTATATCCCAGCTACATAGGCTGCTCCGGCGAGTGGTATAAGACCTATGCTATATCCCAGCTACATAGGCTGCTCCGGCGAGTGGTATAAGACCTATGCTATATCCCAGCTACATAGGCTGCTCCGGCGAGTGGTATAAGACCTATGCTATATCCCAGCTACATAGACTGCTCCGGCGAGTGGTATAAGACCTATGCTATATCCCAGCTATATAGGTTGCTCCGGCGAGTGGTATAAGACCTATGCTATATCCCAGCTACATAGGCTGCTCCGGCGAGTGGTATAAGACCTATGCTATATCCCAGCTACATAGGCTGCTCCTGCGAGTGGTATAAGACCTATGCTATATCCCAGCTTCATAGGCTGCTCCGGCGAGTGGTATCAGACCTATGCTATATCCCAGCTACATAGGCTGCTCCGGCGAGTGGTATAAGACCTATGCTATATCCCAGCTACATAGGCTGCTCCGGCGAGTGGTATAAGACCTATGCTATATCCCAGCTACATAGGTTGCTCCGGCGAGTGGTATAAGACCTATGCTATATCCCAGCTACATAGGCTGCTCCGGCGAGTGGTATAAGACCTATGCTATATCCCAGCTACATAGGCTGCTCATGCGAGTGGTATAAGACCTATGCTATATCCCAGCTACATAGGCTGCTCCGGCGAGTGGTATCAGACCTATGCTATATCCCAGCTACATAGGCTGCTCCGGCGAGTGGTATAAGACCTATGCTATATCCCAGCTACATAGGCTGCTCCGGCGAGTGGTATAAGACCTATGCTATATCCCAGCTACATAGGCTGCTCCGGCGAGTGGTATAAGACCTACGCTATATCCCAGCTACATAGGCTGCTCCGGCGAGTGGTATAAGACCCATGCTATATCCCAGCTACATAGGCTGCTCCGGCGATTGGTATAAGACCTATGCTATATCCCAGCTACATAGGCTGCTCCGGCGAGTGGTATAAGACCTATGCTATATCCCAGCTACATAGGCCGCTCCGGCGAGTGGTATAAGACCTATGCTATATCCCAGCTACATAGGCTGCTCATGCGAGTGGTAAAAGACCTATGCTATATCCCAGCTACATAGGCTGCTCCGGCGAGTGGTATAAGACCTATGCTATATCCCAGCTACATAGGCTGCTCCGGCGAGTGGTATAAGACCTATGCTATATCCCAGCTACATAGGCTGCTCCGGCGAGTGGTATAAGACCTATGCTATATCCCAGCTACATAGGCTGCTCCGGCGAGTGGTATAAGACCTATGCTATATCCCAGCTACATAGACTGCTCCGGCGAGTGGTATAAGACCTATGCTATATCCCAGCTATATAGGTTGCTCCGGCGAGTGGTATAAGACCTATGCTATATCCCAGCTACATAGGCTGCTCCGGCGAGTGGTATAAGACCTATGCTATATCCCAGCTACATAGGCTGCTCCGGCGAGTGGTATAAGACCTATGCTATATCCCAGCTTCATAGGCTGCTCCGGCGAGTGGTATCAGACCTATGCTATATCCCAGCTACATAGGCTGCTCCGGCGAGTGGTATAAGACCTATGCTATATCCCAGCTACATAGGCTGCTCCGGCGAGTGGTATAAGACCTATGCTATATCCCAGCTACATAGGTTGCTCCGGCGAGTGGTATAAGACCTATGCTATATCCCAGCTACATAGGCTGCTCCGGCGAGTGGTATAAGACCTATGCTATATCCCAGCTACATAGGCTGCTCATGCGAGTGGTATAAGACCTATGCTATATCCCAGCTACATAGGCTGCTCCGGCGAGTGGTATCAGACCTATGCTATATCCCAGCTACATAGGCTGCTCCGGCGAGTGGTATAAGACCTATGCTATATCCCAGCTACATAGGCTGCTCCGGCGAGTGGTATAAGACCTATGCTATATCCCAGCTACATAGGCTGCTCCGGCGAGTGGTATAAGACCTATGCTATATCCCAGCTACATAGGCTGCTCCGGCGAGTGGTATAAGACCCATGCTATATCCCAGCTACATAGGCTGCTCCGGCGAGTGGTATAAGACCTATGCTATATCCCAGCTACATAGGCTGCTCCGGCGAGTGGTATAAGACCTATGCTATATCCCAGCTATATAGGTTGCTCCGGCGAGTGGTATAAGACCTATGCTATATCCCAGCTACATAGGCTGCTCCGGCGAGTGGTATAAGACCTATGCTATATCCCAGCTACATAGGCTGCTCCGGCGAGTGGTATAAGACCTAAAGAGGGACGCATATAACCCATCTACCCCGAGGGATCCTGCTACAACTTATAATGTACCTTACGGGATAGGTCTGTCACTTTCAACAAAGCAGCATAGCATTTTACGGTTTTCAAGTTAAAGATCGTAAGCTCATATAGCTCTACAGGGCAGGGTCAACGCTATTGTTATTAAGGTCCGCAAATCAATTTGCATCGACTCGACAGGTAAAGGGTTGGACAATTGAGATATCAGAAATATTGGTTCGCTTTTATAGGTATATGAAGTACCTAATATTGAGATTGCAATAATATTAATTACAATGTCAGAACACGGCGGCTTCATTTCCGATTCTATAATGAAAATGCAATATAGCTTTACTGTTCGAGAGTAACAACACAAAGTTTGTAACAGCTGTACATACATGATTTGAGCTCGTTAAATAGAGTGTGTGTAAAAAATCTTCTTTTTTTCATTCCGCATAATATTACATTACCAAGGTAATAGTGTTACCGCGCGTGATGGTGCTGTTGAAAGTGATTGTTTGGGCTCCCATAGTGTCTGCTCAGGGAGAGGGGTTTCTGGGGAATACTTTGAAAAATTTGTTGTTGAAACAGCTGGCTTACCTTGCTGGTCAGGACTTGCGAGACTAGACATAAACCCTCTCATTAAAGGGCCCGTTGCTTGGGCATATACGCCCGCCACACCCGCTGAAACAGAAGATTGTAGTTAGCACATGGAAGTAGCTTAGTGCCATGGTGTATTACTATTATCAGCTACTTCACGTCAAGGAATACATCACTTCATGAATATGAAGAGACCGTGGGTTGGAGTAGATGGGTGTGGTGAGCCCGAGAGTTGAGGTGAGTTTCTTCTTTAGGATTTAACGTCGTGTTCAAGATTATTGCACTTACAAAGCAGTTATGGACGTGCGTGCGTGCTTGTGATTGTACAAGTCCAGCCGTATCCCGGTTTGTAGTGCTTGATACAATTTGACATGAATACCACGCTCAGACAAAGTATACTGATTCAAAGTCGACTTGTCCTTGTTTTATGCTGAGCACAATGCAAGGTTACAACAAGTATCATTTTGAAACGTCGTTTGGTATGCCACAGACGGTGGATCGAACCACGGACCTTCCGCTCCCCTGACTAGAGGTGGGGAGAAATTGGGTTTAACGTCGCGTCCAAGATCATTGCACTTATATAGCGACGTGCACACACGTGTGTGTGTGTGTGTGTGTGTGTGTGTGTGTGTGTGTGTGTGTGTGTGTGTGTGTGTGTGTGCGTGCGTGTGCGTGTATGTGTGTGTGTGTGCGTGTGCTTGTATGTGTGTGTGCGTGGCTGATTATACTATTCCGGACTGGTGCCGATTTATAGTGATAGCTAGCCAACTGAGAACAGTTGCCGCAGTTGAACATGAATACCCCACTCAGACACAGTATACTGTCGCCGAGCCACCAGTCCTTGTTTTATCCCCTTATTGCCGAGACAGGGTAACGACAAGTACCATCTTTCAACATCTTTTGGTATGACGCTCTCCGGGTGGACGCTCTACCACTAGACCACGGAGGCGGTCTTATCGACAAGAACACGGAGCTCGTATATGACGGGACAGAGTACCATGTTGCTGTATGGGATGAACGTAATACAAGTACGTAGATGCATGTACTCTCACCTATATATATCATGGGGTCGTTGGTGCTGGCCGCGATGAGGACAAGTGACACGATGTTTGACAGGACACCAACGAGAGCAAGGCTGATGGCGGACATGACTCGTCTGAGACACCCTGTCGTCAGTAAGATGACGAACCAAGACAGCAACACCCTAGCGGCAGAGTACAGAGTGATATGGGTCGTCGACCAGAAGAAGGGGCGGGTAAGAAGGAACAGGTTCAGGATCATCTGTTTCGTAAAGTCCACAGAAAAAGATGTGATGAATGTCACGAGGCACAAACCGACTAACGTGCGGGTTTTTGACGGGGCGAAGTAAAAGTTAAATCCTTGTTTAATAATGGATAAATTTTCTTTCAGTACATATTTTGATTTCGCCGCCTGGTGAGTTTCTGGAATGAAAATTATGACTACAAAAAGCGATGCAATGCAGAGAGCAATACTGAGGTACAGTGGTTGTAGGTAGCCGGCTCTGTCAATCCAGACTCCACTAATAGACATTCCAAGAGCAGAGGCCAGGAACAGGATGAAGGAGAGCAGAATCATACGCCATGATCTCCTATCCCCTGGTTCAGTGATGTCCGCTACAGTGCTAAACAAAGCTGTCAACATTGTTGCAAAGAAACCTCCCAATCCATGTAACACCGCTCCTATACACAAGAAGTAGACGCTTAAACTGAACCGAACAACAATAATCATATTGATACAATAAATCATTGCCCCAGTTAGTGAGAGATACATTAGCATCTTCCGTCCAAACACGTCCGAGAGTCCCCCCATCAGGAGAGCAGTTAAACTAGCAGGTAGGATCAGACATAGAGTTATGACAATCAAATCAGTAGTAGCTTTGGCTTGTATGGTGTTCTCTCGATCTGTGTTGTTATTCATGAGGCTCTCGTTGAGATGGTTCACATCATACTCCAGCTTTGCCCTCTCGCGGAGGTAGAACTGTTGATGGGATATCAGAGAGTAGGTGTTGGTGAAGAACAGGAGTCCTACGACCTCCAAGGCCACGTAGCGAGGTCGTCCAGGAGTAGGGGCAGTGCGACCTATGCTACCATAACCTGAAGTGTAAAACGCAAGTCTACAATTTGTAAAACATCACTTTTGCTTGTTAATTGTTTCAGGCGGGAGAACTATTCCAGCTATATAACGTGGTCGTGCAAATGATGGAGCAGGTACATGGGCAGTCGGTATGACGACACACATTCAACCAGATTACAGAGCCTAATATACTGAATTAGAATCGCTACAGGGTGTAAGAGCGGCACGGCAGGGTGGAGCTGTTTGGGTTGTTTTCTAATGTGAGTGCGCTGATCTTTTGCAACTTTATATAAGTTTTTGGCAGACAAGTATAAGGTTGTTTTGGGTTTTTTATTTTCCAACGCTCATATTTTCTCATATGTGGGGACCTATTCTGAATCGAAATTCCTACAGCTACAGCTACATCTTTCGCAAGTGATCGATTATTTGAATTTTTGACAGACAAGTATGTTTATTTCTTTATTTTTAACGTCGCCCTGAAGAATACATCATTTATATGGCGGCGACATTTAAATATTCAGACAAACCAGTGATCGACATCATGAGCAACGATCCTCGCCGTCGATGACACGCAATAAAACAAGTCACTGAGTTTGACCAACCCATACATTAAGTCGCCTCGAACGAAAACCATAGGTTGCTGAGGGCCCAATATACCCACGGGGGGAGATGTGTAAGATCGATGTGGACTGTCTAAATGCGACGGGTCGGAAGGACAGGGGACGACAATGACTTACTTAAAGTAAGTTATTCCCAGTGGTTCAGTAGCACAACAATTTAAGAAACCTTTCTGACCACACAAAGTTTAACTGCAAATGTCATAAAAGACCACACACAGTTTAACCGCAAATGCCAAGTAGGCCCGCAGCCGTCTAGGCTTATCGTAGGGCGTCACTAAATGGATCGGGTAGTCATGCTCGATTACTTGGTTGAATATATGTAATCGTATCCCAACTGTGTGGATCGATGTTCACAATATCGAATACTGGATTGCCTGGTCCAGATCCAATTATTTACAAACTGCAGCCGTATAGCTGGAATAGTGCCATGACACAGTGTAAGGTCAATGTCATGTGAGACTACACACAGATTAGCCAATTAATGTCATGTGAGACCACTCACATTTCAACCACAATTGCTGGAATTGTATCGAATATATTGTCTCCGAAAAAGCTTGAAAAAATAACTATGCTTCTCACTGTTGAGAAAAAGAAATTGTCTGCCACAAAAATGACCTTTTTGCAAGGTGATTTTGAGGAAAAAACATTTAAACTCATAGTTTTAGTTAAAACAATATCGGGTTTTGCAGATGTAGATGAAAAAATATCTAGTCCCCCCTCCTCCCCCCACCCCCTACTCCCACCACTCCAACAAAAAACCGAAGTATCAAATGGTCGGTCTCCCAGATAACATCATTCAACTCTTTTTATAAAACGTATTTTTGGTGTGATAATATTGGGTAGGAAGGTTTACTTACCCCCGTCTTTTTTTCCAACATCATCACCGAACGTTGTGAAACTTGTCTCGTGTACAGTGGAGTCGTCATGTGCTGACATGACTTACATATCACGTGGTACTTCTAGGTTTGAAGAGGTCTTGTATTTGAGGACTACAAGAGAAGTACAAATGTTCGTTAAGTTGTGCCATATTGGACGGGGGTATAGTTCAGTCGGCTACGTGTTAGACCGTTAGTTCAGTATAGATTTTGTCGAGCACATGTTGCAAACATGTTTCCTGAATTTTAAAGTTCCGGTTCAGTCCTTTGTCAAGACCCTCACAATAAAGAAGAGAATAAGGACATAAAACCTAGAATAGAAAAGAAGTAATCTCTAGGCCTTACCTAAAATATGAGATCTGATGAATTGAATCTCTCATGACCGTTAGCAAGAGGTGTAATAACGAATTGTATATCTCAAGACCTAACCTGCAAAAGATGTGGCAAATAGCATCTCTCAAGACCTTACCTGCAATATATGTGACAAATAGCATGTCTCAAGACCTTACCTGTAACAGATGTGGCAAATAGCATCTCTCAAGACCTTACCTGTAACAGATGTGGCAAATAGCATCTCTCAAGACCTTACCTGCAATAGATGTGACAAATAGCATCTCTCAAGACCTTACCTGCAATAGATGTGACAAATAGCATCTCTCAAGACCTTACCTGCAATAGATGTGGCAAATAGCATCTCCCAAGACCTTACCTGCAATAGATGTGACAAATAGCATCTCTAAAGACCTTACCTGTAACAGATGTGGCAAATAGCATCTCTCAAGACCTTACCTGCAATAGATGTGACAAATAGCATCTCTCAAGACCTTACCTGCAATAGATGTGACAAATAGCATCTCTCAAGACCTTACCTGCAACAAACGTGGCAAGTAGCATCTCTCAAGACCTTACCTGCAATAGGTGTGACAAATAGCATCTCTCAAGACCTTACCTGCAACATACGTGGTAAGTAGCATCTCTCAAGACCTTACCTGCAATAGATGTGGCACATTGCGTCTCTCAATACCATACCTGCAACAGATGTGACGAATTATATCTCTCGAGACCTGACCCACAACAGAAGTATTGAAATGCTAACACGTACCTATCACATGCGTGTGGACATCACATGCAGCTCACCAGTTTAGAGTTCGGTCCAATTGTTTTGTGAACAATGTAGGTGTTGTGGCTGCCTTGGTTTGCTATTCAGAATATGATTTCAATTGTGACAGATTATTAACATAAGTGTTCCCTTATTACTAGAATATCGATCCGGCGTTGCTGATATCCCATTTATACAAAGTTCGGTCTCAGTTCATTGAACTGAAAAGTGTAAACAAGACTGACAAATAACGCTGAATTCTCCGTTTGATAATAATAACTGCTAGTATTTAAACTTGTAAACCGTCAACCATTGTTATCAGCTAAAACCAAACGCACGCACAGGGCTGCCCCACAGCTGTAGGAGATGCTGAAGCATGGCAAGCTTATCTGTCTTCGCGGTCTGTCGTTTATTAATTATGCTATGGCCATGTCACATTTTCAACTCACGAATTTGCCAGGCAAATTCCATAATCTTTACATCACACACGACGACCTGTTGAGATCCTCTGAGACCTGTCGGAGTGAGTACAGACCTGATCATGCATATAACTTGTCATTTGTGTGCACTACAGTCGTGAAATAGGTCAAGGTACCGGCGGTCACAACGCACCAATGTCCCAGCGTTCACTTACAGTACACGGGTGTGGATAAGTGACCACATCACGACGGCGTGCTTTCTGCATGCATAGTCCACGAATTGGATATATTTCGATTGGATATTTCTAACAGGGAATAATTCCTTGCAGGTGTCGTTGAGTTTGACCAGATTATTAACTGTTTCTAATCACTCCTCAAGTGACCCCTTATATTTGTCCATGGGTTCTGTAATTTATCAAATCAATGCGTCCCCAAATGAATGCGAGTGTTGACCCTGGTCTAAAATGCGCCATGAAATTAATGCGAGTAGCATTGCCTTGGAACTATAAAACTAGAGTGTAGACCGTAGACTTAGAAATCCATGAAATAAAATGAGAGGTCTTCACAAACCTAACTTCAACTATATCAAATTCCAAATAACGCATATTCACATGAGATACGTTTGGTTACGGACGCAGTTGATAAATGTTCCAAATATACATAATTATATATATTTTAATTTTGTCTTACAACCATTTAGCGGATCTATTTGTCTTGATTTGCCACTTACTCGGGCAGATATTATTGATATAGCATTTATGTATAGTCGGTGATATTATAATATTATAATATGATAATTATGATATTATAATATTATTTGCATGCTTAATTATATAACTCTTATATTACTCTGTATATACGAACTACAAAAACTGAGGTAACTGATGAAACGACGGTGGAGGTATACTGACCATAAATATCATGATGCGGAAAGATGCTACCTTTACTAAAACATTATGAAAGTCCATATTACTATGTTGTATTAAAGGAATCAATATTAATTAATAATGGATAAAATTTACTATAGCCCGTGAGGATATTGGAAAGGTACAGGAGCAATACAAAAACTAGCTACAGCAGCTAAGATATCTAAAACAGAAGCAATACGGCATATATACTTGGCAGCCCCACGATATATACCGAGGGAGAAGTGTAATATATCCACAACAAATGTTCACCAGGCTGAGCTCCTGTTTCTTCCACATTAGTCAAGATGTAAAGAATATGAATATGCTTTAACAGTAGTAGATGTATCTAGTCGAAAAGATACTGAGCCATTGAACTCAAAAGATTCAACTGAAGCAGTTTATGCACTAGATTGCATATATAAACGTAGACCCTTAAAATTGTCTAAGTTATGTCGAGTAGATTCTGGACTCGAGTTTATAGGATCAGTAACTAAACTGTCCACAAAGCACGGTGTTACAATCTGTCGTGCTGAACAAGAGGTCCATTGTAGCGAAGCTATTGTTGGAAGATTTAACCGAATTTTGTATCAATATGCCCAGGAGATATGATGGATGATGGATGATGGATGATGATGATGATGACGATGATGATGATAAAAGATCAACAGAATGGGTGACACGAATATCAGCTGCTGTATCAGCGCTAAATAATGAAGAATCAATATTAATTAGAAAGAGCCCAACCGGTGCTATTAAAATGAAATATGTGACTTCTGAATCTTCAGCGCCGCGGATAGGTAAAGAACAAACAGTTCCAGTGTAAGATATTTATACCAGCCTGTTGAACTCAATGGAGGCCAACGTTGTGCAACTGATCCAGTTTGGTCTCTTAAGATATATAACATTAGTCGATGTGGTGAGCCTTACTTGCATTATGATGCAGATGGACCGAGCAGAGGATTTGTAGGAGAAGAGTTGCCAATACTTTCCAGTGATACAGTATTACATCCCAAAGTAACCACATGCATGGGTAGTTCACCACTTATCAACCCATCTCTTTGTACCTAAGGGGGAATAAAGATGTCTTATTCATTGTTAATCCATATATCCTGTGCTTGTCACTTAATGTCACATCTCATGTTTGAATGTTCTACTGTTGACTAAAGCCTCTTCATGTTCACGTTTTCGATGATTTATTACTACATACTTCTTAACACCTTTAGCTATTCTTAGTTCATCATTATCAGAAGTCTTTATGCAATAGATCTTTGGTCTTAATCCAACATACTCAGCAATAGGAGTTCCAGCACACTCATCCTTTATCTTACCAAATACCTTTGTATTTACTGTGCTGGGATGGATTATCTTTTGGGTAATCTTTGGATCATACTTTCTATTTTTCTGCCCGATCTTTATACACATCAGTTTGTATTTCCATTACAAATGAATTTGTATCGGTATATACTACTCAAAAGAAGTTAATGACCACCTGATTCTTTCATATTACTATAGTTAATACATCATGGCATGCCAGATTAACTGTAGTAATATGAAAGAATCAAGTGGTCCTAAACTTCTTTTGAGTAGTATATAATTCCTCGCATCTATGAACATGTTGCTTCTTAAGTTCATTGTAATAAAAGTCGTTCAGTAAGTGTTCTGACAAGTCAAGAAAACTCATACGAACATATACTGGTCTTTTGAATTCTATATTACTCTTTTTCATATGTAATGCCACTAAGTCGTTATCAAATATGTTTTGTTAAAAGCTGGACTAGCTGTCAAAATCAACATCAATACGCTTGCTGTGATTCTCCATAGTTTTACCAAATTATTCTTGAGCTTATATAGGTTCTTTTCACTAGTAGCCATCGTTCTGTGTGTGTAGCCAGCCGTATGTATGGTGTCATAAAAGGGCTTTGATCAAACTATGTATTTTCTTTAGTTTTATACCAAATGATAGGTGTAACTGGAGATTTCTATAGTGGACTATATACTTTGTCTAATCCATCAAATTGTTACGAGTTTTTTTCTACTTTAGCCAGCTTAGTCTTACCCATCAAGTTATGTTCATAGTCAGACACCATTAAACTTTTAGTGGCTAGCGGATAAAAATTGGTGTTTTGAAAATGTGTGGGGTATTCAAAGTCAACTTCCAGTATGTATCAGAATCTTTGGGAATATTATTCACATCAATATTATCTACCCACTCAAAACCACATGTGGGTCTCAGGTCTCAGACGTTAACCACTTCGGTGAAACCCATGAGCATGGGTATGGTGCTGACGAACCTAGAAACATACAACTTGTGGCCATCAGGAGAACTTGTGGCAATCTTATAAGATCTCCAATCATCTATGGATTTCGTGTGCGATAAATTTTCCCTGGTTACTCTCTCTCTTCATTACATAGTTAAATAGCACTGCGGACCATATCTCAACAGCACCAGCTGATGGCAAGGTACCTGAGGAAGAGATTCGTTTAGTGTTGTCAGAACTCAAACAACACAATGCAACAAGATAGTCGATCAAATACTTGTAAGACAAGTGGCATTTGTGAAGATGCAAAAAACAAGTTCATAGTACAGGGGAGACAAGCACACCAAGCATTCCGCGCCAAAACCAGGGAGCAGGATAGATTAAGAATAAATATTCTTGATAAATATTGATGCTATATATTGGTGCTAGGGGGTACCCCAGCATTTGGTGCCCCATAATTTTGTCTTGCCGCATCATGAGATGACGTCGTGCCCCATAATTTTATGTAAATGTTAGTCCTGCAACATCATGATATACATTTATGCGGATTGACGTACCTCCACCGTCTATACTACTCGCCTAAAGAGCTACGCCAAGCCGGACAACGTTGGCGGGTGCTGGGTTGTCTCTGACGTACACACTCTCCACCAGGGAACATCCCACAGATGCTCTGTTTGTGTCATGTCGGAGCCTAGCGGGCGATTCCAATGTCCATATGCATTCTCGTCGTAGATAATCGGGACGATCTGGCATTGTCATCTTGCTGTATCAAATTTCTGACGATGATTCTAGTGAATGGATCAACGACAGGATTCAACATATATATTTACTAGCCAGTCAAATGTCCATTCACAATATCCTAATCAGTTCGCCTGTCATGTGTGATACCGCCCCACACCATAACACCGTCGCCCCCATTCCGATCACGGCCAAGAACTGTTGCCCTGGCACACCGCTTGCCTCCGTCCACAACGTCGTTTTCCGCCATACGTACCATATATGAATTGGAGGCAAAACCTTTATACGTCTGTAAACATGGTGTTGTGCCATTGGCGCACATTCCGTCCCTGGTGTTGCCTCGCCCACTATCTATTACATTGTGCAAATTATGTAATGTAATCTTGTTTCTTTGTTGTCAAGAGCCCCACTCAGCAATATTCAAGGTATATGACGTCGGTCTGTAAATAATCGAGGCTGGACCAGACAATCCAGTGATTGACATCATGAACATCGATCTACACAATTGGGATATGATGACAAGCATCAATCAAGTCAGCAGCTTGTCCACCCGATCCCATTAGTCACCTCTTACGACAACCATATTCGCCTTTTACAGCTAGCATGGGGTGCTGAAGATTCTACTCCGGATCTTCATGAGTAAACTAATGTAATGAGACGATCTTGTCACGGTGTCTGCCACGTCCAGGTCTCAATGCAATCTCACCCGTTTCTCCCAGTCATTAAATTACACTTTTTGATTTACCAAACATTCGGGCAACTTGACTTCCCAATTTACAAATTATATCTGTATTTTCATTGGATGAGAAAGGGTCACATGACCTTCCTTTAAACACGGTATTGCCCCGAAATCCACCCTCTGTGCAGTGATCAAAAGTGATATTGCTCTGTATGATTGAGCCAGTTCAAAGGATAGAAATATTTTCAGCCAATCAGAGAGAGCGTAACGCAAGGCTAGTTGTGCATCATCTCCTATGACTTCCCGTGACATCTGATTTAATTATTGTTGAATTTGAAATATTTCTCTATTTTAAATTATGTCATAAAGCAATATTAATAATGGACACAGTTCGAGCAATATCATGTTTTATGGATCCAGGT